AATTACTTTGATTAGTAATTATGTTTTAGTTGTTATTTACTTAGTGAATATTAAAGGAAAAAAAGAAAAAGAAAAAATGAATTACTATTTATAAAGTAATATAATTCATGTAGTTAATTAAAATATTTAATACTAATTATTCACTAAATAAATAATAGTTAAAATATAATTACTAATTTAACTAATTAAATCCGTCAAATATATTATTTAATTACTAAAAATAAATTTTAAAAAATTAATTAACCTAAACATCCTAAGTTTATATTTATTTTTTTTAAAAGACCTCTCTCGACAAAATTTCGTTGGCAGAGGTTCTTTTGTCGGGAGAAACCTAATCCGACAAATTTTTGCCGGCATAGACTTATGCCGATGAAATTTCGTCGGGAGAAGTGTTTATGTTTTTTTATGAAAAAAAAATATATAATTAGTTTCTTTACTTTTATTTTTTCGCCAACTTCTTTAATTTAATTAATATCTTATAAAAGAAATACTATAGCCGTGCGGCTATACTATTTCTTTTTCTAAAGTGGGGGGAAAACCGATTCTTTTATTAAAAAAATTGGGAAAAACCCAATATAGCAATACGAAATACTATTTCTTTAAAGCAAAGTGGGAAAATCCGGGTATAGCAGTGCGGCTATACTATTTCTTTTTGAAAAATTTAATAAAACCTAGTATAGCCGCATGGCTATAATATTTCTTTTAATAAAAATTGGGAAAACCCAGTGTAGCCGTTCGGCTGTACTACTTATTTTTGAAAAAATAGGACTAGGAAAACCCACTTGGGGAAGATCAACTCTCCCATTCGTAAAACTAATAAAAAAAGATAACAGGAAAATATATCAGAGAGATAAAATGAGTGAAGAAATTAAAAATGACTGTGTATTTTATAGAGTACATATTAAAGAAGCTTAGCTTACTCCTCCCCAACGTCTCTAAGGATGTTTCGTTAGTTGATTTGCAATGCCTAAATAAAATGCAGCTTCATATACACCTTGAGCAGAAAACACAGAATCTGGTGCACTTCCCATAACAGTAACACTCAATGAGCCAACTGTCCCAGCCCCGTAGTAACAGTAAAGGTAAAGCTCTTGAAAATTCTGGTACCAAAATTTTCTTGTGTCCATTCACCCTTGATAAAGTCTCTAACAGGCTATATGATCAGACAATGGCATTCTATGAGATGGGATATACATTGCATGCTTGGAAAAGAATTTATATTCAAGCTTATATCATTGAAAAACTTGAAAAAGAGTAGCAATTAGTAGCGTTTGATCGAACACATAAGCACCTTGATGTCCAATGAGAAATTGGAAACAGTATGAGTCAGTACAGCATCACGCATGTCATGGGGGCGTCCTTCAAAAATGTCTTGGCAAGAATTTATAATTAACAAGTTTGATGGAGACCTAGATATATAGTATGTCTTGGCAAATTCTGCACAAATTTTCCTGCACCTTTCATATGCTTCTTCAAGAAAGCAAGGACACAACTCTGGCTTTCTGCGGCCACCTTCCGTGGCCATGTTACATGTCTGAGACTGCCTTTGAACAATTTACTCTATACCTGTAAACCAGCAAAAGGAATGCCTCGTAAGGGAAAATACTCATTTCCTTGGGAGCTAGTATCCCTTCCCTTCAGCTCTTGCTGTGGCCATAGATTTTCAGGGTGGGAATTTTCCACTGTCTCTTATGAATATGCCTTTGGTGCAAGCGAAAATGGTGGTGAACACATTGGACAACTAGCGTTATTTCTTTTAGCCTTATTTCTTTTGGAAACAGTCCAGTGAATAAGATAGAAACATGAAGTGAGTCCTGAATATATGAAACGTCTCCTTTCAATGATGACGTCTCACAAATTTGAAAACTTTAATACAAAAAATTAAGCTTGTCTGGTGGGGTTGTCTTTAGCTAATCGTATTGTATCGTATCTACCCAATTATTTTTGTATAGTATGTCTTCATGTATATATATATCAATTTCGCTTTCAGTTTTCTCCAATTTTCTTGACAACCAGACAGAACCATGGCGTGGCCTTGTTGTCAGACCATTGAAAATATAATATATAACATCATTTTGAAAGTCAAATTTGTCCCAAAAAAATCGAAGTTGATGACAAAAGAGTTAAATGAACCAACAACGAAATCTTTGACTAACGAAACAAATCTTCCATGGAAAACGTGCTTACATTACATTTCGATGTGCTAAATTATATAGCAAAGCTTAAATCACACGAAGTCACCAGCCAAAGATTACCAGGAAGAAGTTCAATGATGAGGAAGTAATTCCTCTTCTCTTCACTAGGAAATTATAACACATTTACAGCAGGATTGTAACTAATAAGTTAATTAAAGCAGATTTAGGTCCTATACAAGCTTGAAAACTTTGCAACATTACTGCCTATAGACATGAAACCTGTCACTTCTGTTCATATGTAAAACTATAGGATCGTATGGTAGTGCAAGTGGCTTGTAGCTCAAGTGGTTAAGAGAATTTATCACTACAGCCAAAGTCCTAGGTTCGATTTCTCCCTTCCCCAATATCTATTGTATAATAAATAAAAACTATGTCCGTAGTAGGAGTGTTTACTTTTAGTGATTAAGAACATTTAGCTTCACATTTTCATAAAGAATGGAAAAAACAAATATAGCCGACCGTCTATACTATTTCTTTAAAAAGAATTTAGAAAAATACGAGTATAGCATGGCTCCTATACTGTTTTAAAAAAAAATTGGAAAAATCTGAGTATAGCCGTGCTGCAACTATTTCTTTTTGAACAATTAGGGAAAACCCCAGTATAGCCATGCGTCTATATTATTTCTTTTATAAAAAAAATTGGGAATAGTTGTGCTGCTATACTATTTCTTTTTAAAAAGTGGGGGGAAACCGAGTATAGCTATTTATTTATAAAATATAAAAAAACCCAGTATAGCCGCGCGGCTGAACTATTTCTTTTTAAAAAGTTGGGAAAACCGCGTATAGCCGCCCGGCTATACTATTTATGTTATAAAAAATTGGGAAAACCCCAGCGTAGCCTTGAGAAATACTATTTGTTCTTTAAAAAATTGGAAAAACCCACGTATAATTGTGCGGCTATACTATTTCTTTTTGAAAAATTAGGAAAAAATCCATGTATAGCTCCCGGCTTTCTTTTATTAAAAATTGGAAAAACCCAGTATAGCCGAACGGCTATACTACTTTTTGAAAAATTAGGAAAAAACCGAGTATAGCCGACCGGCGATTCTATTTCTTTTATAAAAAATGGAAAAAACCCAGTATAGCCGTACGGCTGTACTATTTCTTTTTAAAATATTGGAAAAATCCGAGTATAGCCCTTTTTAAAAAATTCGGAAAAAAAACCTAGTATGGTCGACGGCTATACTAAAAGGAAAGACAAGGCATATATTTGACAAATAAAATAAAATGCATATATTTGACAAAATATAATTAGTTTAGAGATTTGACAGGCAGACAAGGCATTAAATCAAATTGAAACCAGCTTTTAATAATTTTGTCTTCAACTTCAGTCTTCAATAGAAGCAAGGAAAGCGTTAAATCCAATGTCAAAAAGGAAAGCAACTGAGCATGCTGAGTATGAGAAATAGACAAGAGTTTATTCAGTCCTTCTTTATAGCTTCTCCTCCGTTTTCCTAAGCCCCAAATTTGAAGTCAGACACACGTTGAGACACACAATGCAGGAAAACAAAAAACACAAAAAACTCTGCGTCATGTGTTTCTGTCAAAAAATAAAAAAGAAATCAATTCACTGGGATTTATACAAATAGTTTGGACATTTAAGTATCGTTGCGTTTGTAGTCCAACGGTTAGGATAATTGCCTTCCAAGCAATAGACCCGGGTTCGACTCCCGGCAGACGCATAATTATATATATATATATTTCATAAATTCTGGGTGGTTTAGCTTAGATTTTAAGCGTACATTTAATGAGCAGTCACCAAAAAGATAAAAGAAAGGGACAGTCACTAAAAAGATAAAAGTATCTTAACTTAAGGAACAATTTATGCTCCCACCACCCATCCAATTATCTTAAGGAATAAATTTTTTTTATTTTTAGAAATTCTAGGATTGCATTCATAATTCATTTGAAAAAGTCATAAAGAATCATTACAATAACGAAGCAATCTAACATTAAAATTAAGACAATCTTAAGATTTGAACAATCATTTTGAAATTATTAAGGGCAAGAATATTTGGAATATATATCAGCTTTGCATTAATGACATTTTCTTTAATTGGACTGGATACATAATGACTTGTATAAACCAAGGATTCATAGCAATCTCCATCCAATATCATCCACATATATATATATATATATATATAGACTTATGCCCATATTGGTAAACTCGTTATGAGCCGTCCATGCGAGTTGTCAACTTTGTTTTGGTGTTAAGGGCAATCAATATAGCTCAAGAAAACAGACAAAATCTTAGCTGTTATTATTAGTAGCCTATATTATGATATACTCAGAAAATTTATATTGAGTGTTGCACTTTCCACCTCTTGTCTTATTTTCCTATATATTTTATCTTCAAATTTTTAAAGATAAATTTACTCTCTTGTAAAATAACTTTTACCTTCCGTTTGAATGAACTTAGGGTATTTTATGAATTATGGTGTTTAATTGTATGAGCGCATATAAAGAATAATTTTTTTTTTCTACACTCAACTAAAGTCTACATTCGAAATGAAATAATAATTAAATTTAATTCAATGGATATTTTTCTCAAGCAAAGTATATGAGAATTTTTAGATGTATTAAGATATGCTAAGATATTTCGGATATCTCATATATGTATTCTTCTCCAATATGAAGATATTTATAAACAAGTACAAAGATGTGTCAATCCTAAATACAATAGGAAATAAATTTACATTACAATAGCAAATAAATCTCAATTATAGTAGACCTAATTAAATAGGTAACCAAAATCCTAACATAGTAAGAACTAAAATCCTAACTAAGGAAAACTAACAATTTTTCAGTATTAAACTCCTATCTTTATTTCTGAGCCAGAAAATAAACTCCGATCTTTATTTGAATGGAATGACCCAAACACATTCCGAATACAACTCTACCTTCTTAACTTAACCAAGCCAATTTTTTTCTTGTTTGATCGGAAAAATCAGCACACATGGCTCTCCAACACCAGCAAGAGCAACCCACTATGCCATCTTCTCCAAAACCACCAATCCTTGAGGATCAGGTTCTTCCCCTCACCACCACAACAACCACCATCTCCTCCACCACCACCACACACAGAAAGAAGCTCACTCTCATCCCTCTCATCTTCCTCATCTACTTTGAAGTTGCCGGTGGCCCTTATGGAGAAGAGCCTGCAGTGCAAGCCGCTGGACCCCTTTTCGCCATTCTAGGGTTCCTCATCTTTCCTTTCATCTGGAGTGTCCCTGAAGCTCTCATCACTGCTGAGCTCTCCACAACCTTCCCCGGCAATGGCGGTTTTGTCATCTGGGCTGAGAGAGCTTTTGGTCCCTTCTGGGGCTCTTTGATGGGTACCTGGAAGTTCCTTAGTGGTGTCATCAACATAGCTGCCTTCCCAGTTCTTTGCGTGGACTATATGGACAAGATAATACCGGCTTTTGGTTCGGGATGGCCTCGGTACCTTGCCATCTCTGTTTCAACTCTGTTTCTTTCGTTTATAAACTATACTGGTTTGACTATTGTGGGTTATGCTGCTGTGTTACTTGCTATTGCTTCACTCTCTCCATTTATATTGATGTGTTTGATTGCCATTCCAAAGATTCATCCTCATAGGTGGCTCAGTTTGGGCCAAAAGGGTGTGAAGAAAGATTGGAACTTGTTCTTTAACACCCTCTTTTGGAACTTGAACTTTTGGGACAATGTTAGTACTTTAGCCGGAGAAGTAGAGAACCCCCAGAAAACTTTTCCGGTGGCTCTTTTCGTTGCGGTGATTTTCACTTGCTTGGCATACTTGTTCCCACTTTTTGCTGTGATTGGTTCAGTCTCTGTGGATCAAACTAGGTGGGGATCCGGATTTCATGCTGAGGCTGCTGAAATAATTGCTGGAAAATGGTTGAAATATTGGATTTTAGTTGGTGCAGCGTTATCAGGAATTGGTCTTTTCGAAGCCCAATTAAGCAGCAGTGCTTACCAAGTTCTTGGCATGGCAGATTTAGGCTTCTTGCCTAAGTTTTTCGCGGTTCGGTCAAAAAGGTTTAATACCCCATGGGTCGGAATTCTGATTTCCACCATGATCACTCTTGCAGTCTCCTACATGACCTTCACAGATATAATATCATCTGCAAATTTCTTGTATAGTTTGGGCATGCTATTGGAATTTGCATCCTTTATTTGGTTAAGAAGGAAGTTGCCGGCATTGAAGAGGCCCTATCGAGTTCCAATGAAGCTGCCAGGTTTGGTGGTCATGTGCTTGATTCCATCTGTGTTTTTGATCTTTGTGATGGCTATTGCTACCAAGACTGTGTATTTAATTAGTGGTGTGATGACTTTGGGTGGCATTGGATGGTATTTTTTGATGAAATTTTGCAAGTCTAAGAAGTTGTTCAAGTTCAGTGTTATTGAAATTGAAGAAGGCCGACAATGACAAATTGTTTGGTTAGTTTGTGAAATATATCTAGTGTCATTGTATTCGAAAAGCTGAATCCATTTTTTGGTGAATTTTGCGTAGTGGTTCTTGGTGCTGTGCTGGTTTGAGAATGCATGGTTGAATTTCTAAGTTGAGACTCGCTTGATCAGCGCAGAATTTGTTTGAGTACAGACAGTTCAATGCTAATGAAATTTAAGAAGAATGTTGAATGACATGAACAGAGGATGGCTAACTATCGATGCCGCAGTTCACACACACACAATCTTTACATGCATGATGCTGTCTTTAAATCATACACACTTTCTACTTTCACCTGCTACTTTGTTTAGTCAGATGATGCTGTGATTTGGTCCATAGCACAAAGATATTATTAACATTGTAGTTGTCTAACATGCAGAAAGGCTCTGTCTTTGTACCATTTTAATTTCATGGCATGTTTACGTATCAGTAATGGGTATCGGAATCATTCCAATTCATTCTTCAATATCAAAATTTAGCAAAGAAGAAAAGTAATATATTAATTTTTGTAAGAAATCAAGATCCTTGATTGAAAGATGACTTTCGATTGAAGTTTACCTTGTATAGCTGATTTTACTTGGACAGCACTTCCTTTCCTTTTTCTCTATGTAATTACCTTAGACCTAGGATCTAGAGATTCTTTCCTTATTGTAAATCTTAAGGATTGTAATATATTTGTCAATTTTGTAGAACGAATCAATACAGAAAATATGGTGAATACTTTGTTATATTTTTCCTTAAAAAAACTGCAATACGCCAATTTCTGAGCAAGACCAATTAGATCCCCTTACAATCATAAACAGCCTAAGCTCTTTCCTCATTGTCCAATTTTTCTTCTTCCATTTTGAAATCAAACCACATCTTTGATTTGCTGAGATTCATGAAAAGGTACCACGCAACACCAGACAGAGTCATCAATGCACTAACCAAATAAACAGCTTTGGTGGCCACAGCCAACACATAGACCAAAAAACCAGATGGAATCAAGCACATAACCACCAGCCCTGGCAGGCCCATTGGAACTTCAAAAGGCCTTTTCAGAGCTGGAAACTTCACTCTCAACCAAAGAAAAGATGCAAATTCCAATAGCATTCCCAAGCTGTACAAGAAATTGGCAGAAGATATAATGTCTGTGAAATCCAAGTAAGAAACAGAAAGTGCTATGACTGTTGAAATCAGAATTCCTAACCAAGGGGTGTTGAACAATTTGGACCTTGCCCCAAAAATCATTGGTAAAATTCCCAAGTCTGCCATACCTAAAAGTTGGTATGCACAACTACTTAACTGGGCCTCAAACAGTCCAATAATTGATAAAACTGCACCAATTTCAATCCAGAATTTCAGCCATTTCCCAGCAATCATTTCCCCAGCAGAAGCTAAATACCCATCAACCCAATCTTCTTGGTCAAGTGGAATAGCACCAGTTGCAGCCAGGAGAGGAATTATGTAACCCAAACATGTGAGAATGCCAGCAGAAAAAAGTGCTTTTGGGTATAGCTTTTGGGGTTCATCTACTTCACCAGCTAGAGTACTAGCATTGTCCCAAAAATTCAAGTTCCAAAATAGGGTATTGATAAATAATGTCCAATCCTTTTTAACACCCTTCTGACCCAAACTGATCCATCTGCTTGGATCAATCTTAGGGATTGCAACCAAAGACATTATTATAAATGGACAAAGTGACACAATCCCTAAACCTACTGCAGTGTAACCAACTATACTCAAACCAGAGTAGTTGAGAAACGATAGCACCAAAGTTGAGACAAAAACAACAACAAAGCGAGGTAGGCCAGAAGAGAAAATGGGAATTACCAGCTTGAGATAGTCTACACAAAGAATTGGATATGAAGCCAAGTTGATGACCCCACTGAGGAATTTCCAAGAGCCCATGAGGGAGCCCCAGAAGGGACCAAAAGCTTGGTGTGCCCAAATGACAAAGCCGCCGTTGCCGGGGTAGGCGGTGGCCAGCTCAGCCGTGACAAGGGCCTCAGGGATGCTCCAAATGAAGGGGAAGATGAGGAAGCCAAGAATGGCAAAGAGAGGACCAGCAGCTCCTACAGCTGATTCTTCACCATAGGGGCCTCCAGAGACTTCAAAGTAGATGAGGAAGACAAGTGGAAGAAATGCTAGCTTCTTGGGATTCTTGATGGTGATTTTAGGTTGTGATTCTGTTTGTTCTTGTTCAAGAAGGGATTGGGAGCTTGTGGAAAATTCTGAGGCTGTCATGCTTTGCATCTTGTTGGATGTCAATCAATAAAATTCATATTCAAGTGGGGGTTTTGCTGGCTTGGCCTTTTGTTGTGCCTGTGGGGACCCAAGATTCTGAAAGTTAGTTGGATAGAATCTGAATCATAGAAGGTCAAGTTGCTTCCAGATTTTCAATTGCACTATTCAACTGGTTTGCTCAAATTCGGAGAAAATGAAATGTGAAAAGCTTGTAAGTGGTCCTTACCTTAGGATGGGAGAGAAAAATGAAAAAGCAATACAAATGCAAAGCTAACACGCAAATATCTGCATATGTTTCTATCAACAAATCAATAATATCCACACTTTTCATACTTTATATATGTATATTATATAAATCTTTTTCCTATAGGTAGTATTATACATGGACATATTAGCATAAGATATTTATTTATTTTTTCGTCTTTTTAAAAAAGTTTATGAATGAGTGCTGCTATTTCTACCCACCCAACGTGTAAATTTGAAGAAAAAAAAACATAATTCTATCTTTTCACCCACCATTATTCATAAAATACCATTTAATTATTAATTCAAGCACATTCTCTTTGCTAATCATTAGTAGTTGAGATAAGGAGAGGATCAAGTTGTGTTTGACGGACTAAATAAATTTTTTAGTTTAATATTTTGATTTTATGGATAAATGTTTTAAAGAGAAAGGGGTACATTTGAAGGGCAATTTTCTATTGTGTTCCATTTGTGCGAAAAAAGAGAAAGGTTAAAGGAATAGAAACAACACCTTGGAGACCAAAAAAAGAATGAAAATAATACTGCTAAACATGGAATAAATTTGAGTTGATGTTTTTTCCCTAAGTCTTTAGAAGTCATTTTACAAAGAGGTAAAGTTGTCTTTAAAATTTTGAAGATAAGGTAGGTGGGGAAATAAGACATGGGATGGAAATAGCAGCACTCTTATGAATATACCCGAGTTGATTTATTTCACTGCTCTTTTAATTATTATGTGATATATGCTTTTGCCGACAATTACTTTGAATTTGAGGTTTACATCTATACCAAAAAAAGGGTTGATCACAAATAGTAATTGTGATAAATTTTGTTTTAGTACTTTGAAGTTTATCGAGTTTCAGTCTTTATTATATGTAGTTTTTTTAAGTCTCAACTTCATACACAAAGTTAAATAGATGACGTAACCGTAATTATGAAAGGAACTACACTGTTGTGGAGTGATTCTTTCTTGAGAGGGATTCATATCGATAATTATGGATGATGTGTGTAAAACATGAGTTTAGTTAGGTGTGCTAGTTTTGGCTGTCTCTTGAATTTTGGTGGCTACACGTTGTTCACCTTGTGTAATTCAAAATATTAATTATCTGCATGCACCAACATCGTTTTAGCTTTTAGGGACAAAATTCAAATTGTTCTTATGTGTTTAAGTATTTCTAAACAACTATAGAAAAGTAAATTTAGTTTAATTATGCCAAGATCACACTTATGAGACGGCCAATGATGATGAATCAACAAGTATGATAAGGATATAAAACCATGAACAAGAAAGGTAAGAAAATTGTTGAGGGGATATCAAACAACTGACTTGGAAGTTGGAACTTTTATGAAGATGATTTTCAGACCAAAAAGTACCAAAGTCCAAAGTCCAGGCCTAGAAAGAATATATTTCAGCCCAAAGCAACCTTTTGTCTTTCGTCAAACCCACTAGCTAATCCGAGGCCTAATGAGTTTTAGCCCAATAGGTTTATATTAAGCCCACTGAACTGAAGTTTGGGTCAAGCTCTAGGCATGAAGAGCAGAGTCCAATCAGTTAAAAAACTGAAATGGATTTGATTGTTACTCTGGCAAATTTGAGCAAAGAGGCGTTTGTAGTCCAACGGTTAGGATAATTGCCTTCCAAGCAATAGACCCGGGTTCGACTCCCGGCAAACGCATTTTGCTTTCTTTTTTTTTATTTTTGTTGTTGTTCTGATTTCTCACTTTGAGTGATGAATGAAATTCACAAAAAGGCAACTTCTGATGGAATAAACAAATATCTCCAATCAGAAAAGCTAGTTCAGAATGAACCGCGCCATTGAAATGAATAAACCATAGAAAAATGAACTTTGCTTGCTAGTTATATATACTCAAATGGGGTTGTGATTAGGTGACCAAGTATGTATATAACATGCAACTGTTATGCATATTATGTCATGCACTTCTAATAGAAAATGAAGGAGATGCAGTGTGATGGTTACAACTTATAGTTCAAAGCTCTGTGCTTGGTGCAACCCTATTCCTTGTCAATAGCAAGCTGCTAAACTGACAAAGCTCTCTGTTTATTTTTTTGTTCTTCTTCTTCTTTTGTTGTCTAGGCGCAGCGCCCAAGAAATTTCTGAGAAAGAAGCATAACCAGTAAAAGAATAGAGGCATGGGATGGGATGGGATGGGATTGAAAGTAGGCAAGGGTTGTATTGTATCCATGTTTTGAGTTACATCAGAACTTTTGTTGCCACATGAATTTACCAGCTGTTAAAATATGTACTTTGTAATATTATGTGTACGTGCATGGAAGTTGTGAATCTTGTGATGGATTATAGTTTATAGTACAAACTAACCCTTTCTCACAAGTGACAACAATGTACTGGTACAAGCAATTTCCAAGAAACGAGCTTGCACAATACAAACTGCAGAAAGATTGAGTATAATAATTTCATACATTTTGACAGCGTTTGTTTCGTGCCACATGAACCGAGTTATATAGGCAGCTAGCCTTCCAATCCAACCACCACCAACAATCTTGGAACCCAATCACAGAACTCTACACCACCCACATTTGAAAATTTTCCATTAAAACATCCAAGAAATCCCAACAAAAGAAAAAAAAGAAAACACCATGAAAGCCGCCAATTCTTCTCCAAATTCAAAAACCATTCTTCCTGAAAATGAAAAACAAGAAGCGGTACAAGAACCTCCAATGTTTAGCACCACCAAGATCAAAAGCAAAAGCCTATCATTCATCCCTTTAGTTTTCCTCATTTACTTTCAAGTCTCTGGTGGCCCTTATGGCACAGAGTCCATTGTTGGCTCTGGGGGGCCTTTCTTTGCCATCCTTGGCTTTCTACTCTTCCCAGTCATTTGGAGCATCCCTGAGGCCCTTGTCACTGCTGAGCTGGCCACCGCTTTTCCAGGCAATGGTGGCTTTGTCATATGGACTCACCAAGCCTTTGGTCCCTTTTGGGGCTTCCTTGTTGGTTTCTGGAAGTTTCTTAGTGCTGTCATAAACTTATCTTCCTACCCAGTTCTCTGTATAGACTACATTGATCCAATACTGCCAACTTCCTTCTCACCCTTGCCTCACTATTTAGTTATCTCTGTTTCAACGATGTTGCTCTCTGTTCTCAACTTCATTGGTTTGCCTACTGTAGGCTATGCTGCAATATCTTTGGGGGTTTTGTCATACTTGCCATTCTTAGTAATTTCTGTTTTTGCAATTCCCAAGATTGATCCTAGCAAATGGGCTGTTTTAGGCCAGAAGGGTAGGAAAAAAGAATGGCCATTGTTCTTCAATTCCCTGTTTTGGAACTTGAATTGTTGGGACAATGTAAGTACTTTAGTTGTAGAGGGTGTTAAGAAACCCTCCAAGACATTACCAAAAGCATTTCTCTCAGCTGGGTTGTTGACTTGCTTGACTTCTTTGATACCTATGCTAGCTGCAACTGGGGCTATGTCCCTTGACCTAGATGATTGGGTTGATGGGTTTTACACAGTTGTTGCAGAAAAAATTGTGGGGAAAAGGTTCAAAAAATGGGTTAGGATTGGAGCCTTTTTATCTGGCATTGGTGTGTATCAGTCCCAATTGAGCAGCTGTTCATACCAGCTTTCTGGCATGGCTGAATTAGGCTTGTTACCGAAACTTTTCGGTGTGCGGTCCAAACGGTTCAATACACCCTGGTTGGGAATTATGATCCCAACAGTGATATCAGTCCTGGTTTCTTACATGAATTTCAGGCATGTCACATCCTTGGTGAATGTTTTAAACAGTCTGGGCATGCTAGTCGAATTTTCGGCTTTTATTTGGTTGAGGGTGAAGTTTCCAGGTGTGGAGAGGCCCTTTAAAATTCCAATTACCAGGCTGAGGTGGTTGATAGCAGCGTTGTTCATTCCATTTGGGTTTTTGGTGTACGTAATTTGTGTTGGCACAAAAATTATATACTTGGTGATTGTTGTGCTGACTGCGGTTGGGATCATTTGGTACTTCTGTATGAAGATTTTCCAAGCTACAATGTGGCTTGACTTCATCCATGTTGTGAAAAAGCTAGCAGATTATGAAGACTTTGGGGGGTAAGTTGATTGTTTTGGACTTGTTTGTAAACCTCTTCATGATGATGATTTGCATGCAAAAATACTGACTCTTATCTTTTCTTCTTCTTTTTTTTTTTTTTGGTGTTGCTGCAGCTATTATGAACGAATTCTGAAATAAGGTAGTTGCAGTCACATCCATATTTTGCAATTGTTATTGTGAAGAAGTGATCAAATCAAATGTTTATTTGATTTGATGGATCAAACGTGGCTGACTGGATGTACATTTTAGTAAAGTTGTAAAAGTTTGACGTAGTAGTATTATTCCTTGTTCCTATGTATAAGTTATCAGAAAAATAATGTGAGATGCATTTTTATTTTATGAGTAAGATCGATGATTACGTATCCATAATTATTTGATGTTGGGGTCAACTGTGCTGGAGTGGAATAAATTAAACACAATTATTAGAACCCTCAATATAATTCCTATAAGCATCCATAACTAATAGGTTTACCACAACTTTGAGTAGAGGCTTTCAAAAAGTTTGTATCTAAAGCCACTCAAATTTGACTCATTCATTCTAAACAATATTAATCCATTCTTATTTGTGCGGATTAGACTTGACAATACTTATTTTAGTTTAATTGATTTGCCAAGAAAAACGGTTGAGGAATACAAATACTGCGGAACACAAACATTGAAGATTTGAACCTAAGACTTTGAAGAACATAAATATGTATTGCCCACATAAGGAAATCCTCTCATGAATTCTTTACGAGGTTGATGGTCGAGGTGTTTGTCAATAAAATTAAGTGACAACACACAAATGAAGTCAAACACAAGTATTCTTGAAACAAAGCCTCTAAATGAAACTAAAAACTAATGAGATCTACCAATAGGGTCTAGCTTAGTTGAAAATGGCTTTGACCTGTAAATAAGAGGTCTCAA